CAATGTCATTCAGTACACATTAAGACTCATCAAAAATCTTGTGCTAACATTCAATAAAACAAACCTCATCAAAGATAGTTTAGGGATGTTTGGGTAAAGTCTTATCACACTCCCCCGTGCAGTCGGGATTTCTATATTTGAACTAATTGCTATCGCGGACCGTTAGATATACTTTCTAGTGACGAGACATTATTTGCTTGCGAGGCTATATAAAGTTGTTAAGCCGGAAACCACCAACTGCGTTAGAWTGGAATGCCAAGAAAATAGAGTACAAGGCGCGCAAAGGCGCCTGGGATTGCTTTYGATAACTGATTCCTCTTGTCTCGTTACTGGATGATGGAATGCACTAATTAAATGATTCGATAGAGGTATGAATCTTAATTATTAATCAAGATATATTGTTAAAAGTTTATACTTACAAATTTAAGCGGTAATGGTAACTGAATGTAAAGTTTGSTGACGAAATGGTCGGTTTTGTGTTTATTATGCTGTATTAATTCACAGCTTGATTTGTGTCTTGCACTATGAAAATGATGCAATGTTCTTTTAATTATTTAGAAATTCAACGAAATATCGATAAAAACATATTATAAAATAAGTGCAATGATATAATAGACTTTAACGGAGAATGACATGACTTTACAATATACGATTCAWCAACAGAACGTCTGCAAATCAATTTTGAAAATTTACTGAGTGAATTATAATGGCTCACATTTTAAATTAAGAACCCCAAATTACTTTTACAGCTAGAGGTTTTGATTCTTTAAAAGCAGATTGACAAAACGAATATTTGTTTCGCTTGTATTCTTTGGCATGGCGAGTGAACTTCGATCAAATTCAAGCTGCTGTATATCAACGAAATGTTTAGATGATTGTTTTCGAAAGTCTAGACCTCGATCGCGTGGCACTGATAGTCTTATCATGGCAAACGTATGTTTATGCGCAAGGCGAATTCTTCACTATAAACTATGTCAGTTCCATGGAAAATAGCTATACACTAACAAATGACAAGCAAATGAAAAATCCCTGTGCAGCGACAATTAATATATAGTGTCATTACTATATATGYGACAGGCAAAGCTGTATCTCATATCATTATAGGCCCTTCTACAGTCGTAATCTAATGCAGTAGATTGCCAATGAATATTGTAAAATCCTTGCAATCTCATTGTATAAGCTGCATACACGTATATTATATATAGAACAGGAGTTTTAGTCATATTTAGGCTGAGAACATAGAGGTTTTCTATAAGAAATTGAATAGTATTTAGTGCTGTCGTGAGAATTTTGTCCTTTAGTTTCAAATCTCTGTCCACACTAGATCGTAGTTTAGATCGTATTTAAACTTTATACTGGTGCACCAGTTTTACAGTTTTCCCTGCTACTGTAATAGCCAGCACAATTACTCATAAAATCAGGAATCATAAAAAAACGTGGCGCGCTGTCGTAGCGTTTCTGTATTTTTTTTTAATTCCTTTTTTAAAAACTAGTGATGATATATAAAACGCAAGGAAAACGCATCAGTGTTTTGTTTTATAACAGTTCAATTGGGATTGTAAACAATGTGTATTAGTACAACGAGCTCATCTACAGCTACAAATGATGTGGGACTTTTTTTTTAAGCTTTTACAATTTCTTTTAAGATCTAAAATACTTATAAAGTCAATTTAAAAAGTCCTCCAGATCTCGTTATTCTTGCATGCAGGTGAAAAATGGCTTATAACATGAGTGCTGTGAGYAGAAGTCTCCCTCACATTCGTCAAACACCACGAGTTCTAATTGTAGCAATGTTAATTAAGAACAAACATAACTATCGATAAAAAAAAAAACGCAAACCAACAAAAACAAAATATACAGCAACAAACGTTCACATATTGAGTCCGTGAAAGGCGCGGACGCGAAATACGTAGAATTATGGATTAGTAGGATTGCATTAGTAGAGAATTAGAAACTGCTAAGACACGAAAACAACATAATAAGTTTATAAAAAATGAGGCAATTTAATCGTGTTAAACAAAAATTGATTTTAAAATCAAGTGGTTAATTGAGTTGTTCAGAAATGCGATGCTTTTTAGAGCCTATCCTYCGAWTTTAAGCCCTTCCTACGAGTATAAGTGACCATTACTTAAGRATCAATGCACCTTTGGGATCGTGAAATCGTTATGCACATATGTGTATTAGCAAAAAAGMAGTACGATTTCTTAGTTGTTTTTACAGTTTTCATGTTTGCATGCTTGTTTTGTTTTTCAAGACAATGGTTATTGCAGTTGAGAGAGTGCAGTACAATAGCACCATGGGATAGCCCACGGAATCGATTCAAAGGCAAACAATCACAGCATTCTTTGATATACAGCGGGTTCTATAATGCACTTATAACGATACCAACCCTGTTTGCTTCCCCTAGTGATTGCGGTYAAAACAAAGCAGGGYTAGGGCAAATAACACATATCCTCCAMAAAYTGTCATTTTCGCACGCATCATGGCGGATTCTAGTCCTTTATAACTGAATCTTATTTTTCATTCAGTTAACTAGRCAGATGAAATAATAAAGACATAATTATCGATATCGCTCAATTCAATTGCAGCGATAAGTGGCTTTTCTTAGTTAGTTTGGTTGCGTTGTTCTTGCGCATAGGCGAAAGGGCTCTCCCCTCCTTCAATTGCACGGAAAACGTTTTACGTGGAGATTATCTTGTAAACACTTAGAACGAACTAAGGCTACCAAATCCTGGATTTAAGAAAAAAAATCACGACGCTAAAATATAAAATCCACACTATGGGAAGAAAGTTTTCTTTAATCGAGAATCTATATTTATGTGAAGAGCGATTGGCGGGAAAAGTTTTCTCATTCCTTTCATCCAGTTATGCGAAGCATTCAGACTACACCAGATAAATTCTATGAATAGTTCAACTAGGAGTAAAACTGCTTAACTTGCTATTAAAACAATACCAGTAACTATACTAAAACCTTAATAAACAGTATGAACTGTTTCAGGTTCCCCTCATCACACTGGTAATACTTTAAACCATAGTAAAATCATTCGGACAAAACTTCATTTATTACTATGATGTTCCTAGAAATGAGTCGAAAGTCTCTGCACGAGGACATTTTTCTACATTCGTGACTAAGAAATATCTTTGCATGTGGGTTTTGTGACCCATTCTTGCTGTTTTTTCAGTGCGAACAGCGAGGCATCCGGTGATTTTGTGCGACACACTTCCGGGACGGACTCGAGAAAACTTGACAAGAATCGATGTATATTGAAGAGCTAGAGTGGTCAATGTAGTAGTAATCAAGTGACTGGCAAACCACAAACAACTCTTCCAAGAGAGAAAGCAAATTGTGATCACCCATCGAGAAGAAACGCAGAGAGGTATTGCGCGCAAATCAAAATTAATTGTTWTACTGTACCCGTGTAAATCTTGGAACCTTTGAAATTAGGATTCATCGAAGCTAAGGAAATACTCCACAATCTATTCGTATAAGATTTCTATGTTTATTTCTTATGTTTAGGTTCATAGAAGGTTCTAGTTTTCGTAAAAGCAGCATTAACTCGAATGCGAATGCTACCTGAACTCTGATGCTTCATATTAACAATGCAGTACAAATGAAGGCGCTACAAGCCTTTGTGCTCCAAGCACGTTATCCAGATTTCCCAATATTCTTCAACTAGAATCACCWATTCATTTAATTTTTGTAAGACATGTTCTTTCCGTGTATTGATGCCCTAAAGACCCGTTTATTTGAAAATCTGCCGGGTTTTCAACGACTTAGACCCAAATCCCCACCATAACCCTAATGAAAGACAGTCGTTAATGACATTTTTGTCATGGATAACCCAAAAGAAACATAATTGAAAAATTAAAGTTYATTTGAAGGTGTCGGAAGTATTTATTGAGATATTTAAACTGAAGTTGAGATCATTGTTGTGGACAARTTCTTTAATTACTTGTGACACACAGAAACTTTGCCTAACATCTTCGTATTTCACACGTTTACGTTCCGTGCGGAGAAGAATGGTGTGGTTTTCTACACTGCCACGCCGCTTCTTGCGCAAACCTCAAATCTTTGTCGTTTTTTCATTAGTTTACACGACAATGGTTCAAATTATTGGATGTTTAACTTAAGTAGAAGAGTCCAAACCTCCATATTGTTTTCTTGACGGCTGGTTAACAAAGACATCTTTTCTGTTTTAAACACAGATGAAAAAATCACAGAGAAGCAAATAAACAGTTTAAGAACTCTGATTGAAAAGGAAATTTGGTTTGGTGACAAAACAAACAAACTCTTAGATATAATACGTGTGTCCAGATATCAAATGGACTGTATGGTGAAATCAAGTCAAACGTGCCCTTTGTTTACCGAAATACCTTTGTCAGAATTATTAAAAAATCAGTCATGTTCGTGTTTACATAATGAAGAGTTTTTTCAAAGACAAGTATCCTTGATTTGATAACTGATATTTAATTAATGACACTTTAATGGGAACGTTTGATATTTTTCTTCTCAAAAACGATGGATAATTCCCCTACAAAAGAACAATTGTGTCATCTGTACGGTGGAAGATTGAACAGCTTATGAAAACTGACAAAATCTTTGTCTTTTGGAGAACAGAAAAAATACACTAGAAAATGCCCAATCAAAGAGAAGAGGGTTTTTTTTTCACAAGCGAGGAAGATGTTGATAGATTCATTTTACTAAAAACATATCCTCTTAACTAGTTTTTCCTTTTCTAATTTTCTATTACAATTACATACGTCTTCGGAAATGACTTAATCGTAGGATATGGAGTATTTAGTTCTTCATTATGGCATATTAAAATAACGTCCAACAAACAGAACGATTGAATAATCACTTGGCCAACTGAATGAGAGTCCTGTATATTGTGTTTTGTTGAACATTCACTGACGTGACTCGTTGTGTCATCCCTAATCCCGAACGGGATATTTTGCTTGGATTTCTCGCGGCTTCTTTACATACATGACAATACTGCTCCAGTGACGGCCTCCCACATTGCTTTATTTGATTCAGAAAAGTAATTTTTTCTTTACAAAGAACAAATACGGAGATGCAGTCATGCGGCTCTAAACGGAACGCCCAAATGAACCTTTCTTAATTACACGGACCTTGGTAACGCTTTCTGAATGAGAACGGACTTCACTAAAGCAGGGCCTAACAAGCACATATCCACGCACGTGCCTCGTAGATTTATTCATTAACAGATACAGGAATATTGCCATTTTCAAACGTCTTATAAAGTCGTAGCATCATTTGGCTGTGTCATTGAAGTATCAACTGGCTTGAGTCACTGCAAAGCAGACCAGCTCGGTTTTTTATCAGAGAGAATATAGGACAAATCCCACTTAGGCGTCTGCTTAGCTAACCCTCATTCAGAAAAAGGTGACTTATAGTATAGATTTCTTCAATTGTATTAATAAGGATATATTTATAAGCCATGGGGGGTGTGAGCTAACTGGTGGACCCAGTGACACGAGCAGTAAACGAGACTAACACAGGCTTTCTTACCKTCTCRTTTTAGACTTGCTGTTGACGTTACATTAGTGAAAATCATGGCTGGATTGTTCAATAATTATCCTGGATACACTTTGGGYGGTTTGAATATTCCACCAAGATCTGCAGAGATGTACAGTCCCATGGTTGCAGGGCCACCTTACGGTAAGGGAAATCATTGCTGTTGTTGGGGCAGACAGGAAAAAGGGTTAAGCTATAAGAAGGTTTCAGTACAGAAAATCCCTTGCTTAAAAATATCAAAATCTAATCGAGGGCTTAAGAAAGAATATTTTAGCTATTTCAATGTGATCAGTGAAACTACAAAATGTATTACAATTTTGAAAAGTACAAGTGGGCTTTTTCATGTTCACCGATTGTTGTGTACATGTTCAGCTCCCGTACATTGTTTGAAATGAAAATCGTTCCAAAAACAAAAATATATATATACTAAATAATCCCTTCGCTTAGAAGACATATGTTGAAGAAATGGCTCGTTTTTAACCAAATTTTATTGTTATTTTCTAACCGTGATTTTCATACTGTGAGGTACAAGAATTACTCGAAAACCACCAGTTTTGTCCTTTGTTTTTACTCTCAAGAAGGTCACTTTTGTTCTCCAATTAAACGATAAATAATCTACCGTATCATAGATAAGACTAAGAATGCGTTGTTTATAAACTTTGTCGTTTCGCCTCGGAGATCTTGTTATTGTCATTATCGATATATGTTGTTGATAATAGTGAACAGATTGGGTTATGCTGCAGCTAGCAGTTGGACTTCAAAACTAYGAAATACATGCTAACTACTTTCAGTTTATTATGGTTGAAAAYTTTGATTTATTTTTAACAAGCCGTTCTATTAATTGAGGTCCCTAAAGCAGGACTTAGTATAGATGCCCATGTTTTCTTTTCTAACTATTGTTGTATATATAGGGGTAGACTATTTTAGTTTGACTTTGTTTTGTAGAAAGCTTTAATCGTTCTAYGCTTATTAGTGATGAGTTGATACCAAATCGTAGCAACAGGACCAAGCAAGCCACATTCATCGACACAGTATGATACTTGTAGTACTAACCACACGTTGGAGTTGATTCTCGAGCTTCTAACAATCTCTCTCTTGCTACTCAAKCAAAAAATAACAAAATCCCAAYATGTAGAAGCTCTGAATGATAAGCGACGTACAGAAAAATGTACAAAACGATTCAATAAAAGACCTAAAGAATTTCGTGTCTTGAAGAAACACCACCAGTACTGTGTCTTGCTGTGTTATTGTCCATGAAGTTTCGTTCAAAAACGGAACGCGTTTAACAAAACAAATAGAGAATATTTACATGCTTGTGTTAACTTCAAAGCATGCTAATTTGTCAYTGATGTGAAAATATACTCCAGGGATCTATTTCTTAAGRAGCAAAACTTTATGATAAAGTTTCTTCGTAAGCCAAACAGTAAACTAGTCCGGGAAGTGTTTTCTTTTACGTTAACGAGGTTCGTGACTTTAGTAGGATTGCGGTTACGCTCTGGGTTTAATTCTGGTTTATTACAGAACTCATAAGAACARYCTAAATCAATCCTGTTAATAAACGACCCGTTTATGMTSTACATTTTCCTCCAAAAAAGTATAAAATAAAAAAATGCTTTCCTCAAATATTATCTCAGAGTTTCACTTYCTTTTKGTACATTTTACACCATAATCTTTCTCTGAAAAGGCAGTTAATTTTGTGCGGAAATAAGTTTTCCAATGAAGTCTCAATTTCTTGATAAGCAAACAAACTMTGAGGGTGTCTTCAATGGTGTGTTTGTGTTTGTCAAATAACGACAACATGAAACTGAAGTGATGGAAAATGTGTGCCGCCATATTGGATGTCTCTATTCATTTCATCAATTACGAAGAATAGGCTTTCTTTCATTATACTGAGCTAAATAGAAAAAATTCATCATTTGTCTTATAAACAGTTGAATACCGTGAAGTTCATTCAATCGCAAAGTTACGGCATAAGTCCACAGGAAAAATATTCGTGCAATTTTAGTACATTGTGCTACTTTGTTCGACCCGTGAGAAAAAAATTGTATAATTTTGTCGAGTTGATAACTCCTTTTACTAAATAAGATATAATTAATGTTTTCCAATGTAAAAAAATATCAAAAACAGCAGCCAAGTGCAATAAGCGTGGTAATCCCAAAGCATTTTTATTGCTAACAATGTATATGATAGAATCAAGCTTCAATGTCATTCTCCCGCTATCAAATGGTCAAAAACAAAGTTTTTTATCGTCATTTCTATTGTAAAAATCTATCTTCATCAAATTTAACTACAATTCCAAAAATGCTCTTAAAATGCATCCATGGTTTTCCTCGGTTCATAATTTGTCCCTGGATTTACAGGTTATACAAGAAAGCAAAGAAGAGAAAGAACAACTTTCACCAAAAACCAACTAGAAATTCTTGAAGAATTGTTCTCCAAAACTCGATATCCTGATATCTTTATGAGAGAAGACGTCGCTATGAAGATCAATCTTCCCGAATCAAGAGTTCAGGTGGGATACAATTCACTTTTCTTCTAATAAAGATGATTTTATTGGATTGCAGTGAACCATATCCAAAAGTTCCGTGAAAAGAGTTTTTTTTAATGTATTAAAATGTAAGGTTTGATACTGAAAGTTTTTTTTTTATTGTCTGGTTGAAGTCAGTGTTGTATTCACTGCTGATGATGGAGCTCCTCCTTCCCWTGTCTTTGTCTAGATTAGGTCATGGTTTTGTTTGAAAAACGAACTAAGTCCTTATTTTCCAAACGCCACATGAGAGTTTATAAACCCTTTTTTGGCTCTGTAGAAACTTGTTTTCGTTGTGCGGGATTTTTTCATAATGTAAAGCTTTTTATCCACATTCAAGTTTTGTGAAACAGTTGATACCTGTATATATAGATGCTTTCCATTAGTTAGAACCGGCCATCCAGACCGCTTTGTTTAGAGATAGCGGGCTTTTTATCAAGATTTTTTCCCTGAAATTTTTTACAAGAATCGGTGTTACCAGAAAGTGGACCATGAGAATTTAGCAAATGAATCTGCTAGCTGAACGGGACTAAGTGCTGAATAATTGGAAAATTCTCTTTGGCTCTGGTCCGWCAGTTAGCGCCCTATGAAGCTGGTAGAACGCGGGTAGGAAAATAAAAAAAAGACTTCTAATGAGAGATCTTGGAAATTCGAGTCTGAATTCATGTTTATTAAGCCTCGAAAAAAAAGTGTTGCTATAGATGAAAACGTTTTCTAGAAAAGAAAAAGGAAAGAGGTGATTTGCAGAAAATAAAGAAAAACGCAATATTCATTTTCATTTTATTTTTCCACTTTTGTCCTAATCCCTAAAAGAGCTGCTGCAGATTCAAAATCAAAGCCCAGATTGTTTTCCATGTAAAACACAGCTGAGTTTATTTTGTATCGAGAATTTGGACATCATAATAAGGTCAGTGTGGTTTGTGTTTCCACTGTCTAAAATGAGTCTGTTGTCGGGCCCTGCTGTTAAAACATACTCCGCGTTAAATTAAATGGTTAAACAAAGAGCTCAGAAGCAGCTAAGTCGACAAAGCCATTTTACGGTTGTGTCAGAAGACAGAGAACAATAAGGCGTTAAATGCGCACCAAACTGCTCCTTGGAAATAGRCCTTGAGGCAAAAARCAGGTGAACGAAAAGAACCTGGATTCTCTCTTGGTTTAGATATGATGCGATATGATGGATAAAAAGGCAAAGCCCCTTCTTTGATAGTCATCTTTAAATAATGGACTACTGGAGTCAAAGATCTGACGGAAACCTTCTTGAGAGATCTTCCATAATTCCAGTCAAATCTTAATAAGCACCGCGCAAAATACACAGCCAAGATCAYACAAATCAATACRGGAGAAACAATTTTCGCAAAAAAAAAMYTKSMAAAAAACCTTGATGTTTGCGCGCAGTTTGAATAAAAAGGGTAGTCATTACGATACAGATATTGAGAAACTAAGGTTATTAGATTTTTCTTATCCTGTGCTCAGATCAAAAAGCTAGTTAAGAATCTTAAGTCCAGATAAAAGAGGTGATAATGTAATCTAGGTGATTCTCCTCTTTGAATATGCTTTATCTTAACATTTGCACAACCAATAAGGAATGCAGATACTTCCGTTTTATTGAGGATTCTACATACACSTTTGCTGTCCTTCTTTCATGTTCCACAGACAAAACAAAGACTGACCACAAACGTTTCAATCAAATTATACAGCTACTTAAAGTTCTCAGAAAAATCAACAAATAATATGAAAACTTCGCAAACGTTTGTCAATCAGAAARTCTTAGTAATCCTATTGCCAGAAACACAACTGCCCCTTAGTGGACTTAACGATTTGGGTCAACTCAGTAATCCTGGTCACTCAGTGATCATACACTGCCGACTTATATTCTGTATATATTATTTCTTAGAATAATCGAACAGAGATAAGCTTTTTTTCTACAATCTAGATCAATCAGCTTCAKCCAGAAAGTCGGCTAAGACTTATTTTGCCTCAAGTAACCTGCTGACTTGAGGGTGTGGAGAGGGTGGTGTATAAGACGTACTTGAGACTTGATGTCTCAGCATTGGTCTAAGCAAGTTATATCCTTTAGGTTTGACCTGATGCTATACATAATCAAGAGGTTTATTTTTGTTGATTTCCTCGGAAATCATAGATTTGTTCTATTTTTTTTTTTCTCTTTTTTTTTGATGGGTAATGATGATCTGATATAGAGAATATCRTTTAAATCTTAAATCGAATCATAAGTAATTGGAATGGTGGTTTCTCTAGTTTCAAATCCTTGTTTTCTCTTGCGATGCAATGAAGATGAAGCACAATCGCAACAARCTGAGTGCTGCATTGAGAGGGTACTGATTCATTACTCGAGCATTTCAMCAGGAACTCGAAATTATAACAGCAACAACAATAAATTAAGCAAATAGCAAAACAAATAAAACCCGGCAGTTTTTTTTCATATTTTATTTATTGGCTATTTTTTTTTTGATGTATGTGTAAATAGATAGATAGATAGATAGATAAACCTTTATTAACTTATACCGCTCAACTAAATAACTTTACTTGGATCTATAATGGTATTGATTTAAGGTGGTATTGAATAGAAAGATACCTGATAAGATCATAAACTTCTACTTCCTAATTCCACTTTCTATTCGATCAATAATCYATCAATTACTGATGTTTCTTCTTAATTASCAGGTTTGGTTCAAAAACAGACGAGCAAAAGCGAGACAACAAACTAAAGGAGAACCAAAGCCAAAACCAAAACCCAAGTCACCACCACCCTCTAAGGAGCTTCCACAGCCAGTTCCGCCTCCCCCCTGTCGGTACGCTAGTTGTAGTGGAAATATCTGGAGTCCCGCTCATGAAACAGGGAGACCATCGCTAGCTAACTATCCCTCGCATCCAGCAATGAACAATAGTATGACGTCATCYAACGCTGGTGCATTCATGGCTCCTTCCCAGCCTCCACCGTACTACTGCTCGACGTCAAATGGTCCATATATGTCCTTGGAKCAYATGCATTCTATGGCCCCTCGATAACTAAACGATTGCTAGTACATGATATTGAAGAGAGATAGAGAAAAAAAATAGTAATTTAATCTACAGCTAGCTTTACAACTAATTCCGAAAAGGTTCTTCATTTGAAAAAGAATATAGTCGTCAAAAGAGTCATTTGGATATACTGATTTCTTTTTTGACTCTTGTCACAGCCTCAAGTGTGTGGCATGTTGCCTTTTGAAAGCTGTGAAACCTTRATATGATCACGTGGTGTATTAAGGACAGCAAACCAAATGACGTCATTGCTAMCAAAAGTTCTTTTCAACTGGATAACCTCTTTCAATATTAGATGTACATAATTAGAAAATACATGATTWCTTAAACAACTCTAGCATTAAGATACGATATCATACACAATGTAATATYATTATTATCATGGAAAAAAATAATGAAGATTTAGATAAGTAAGTGATTCTTATATATATGTTCAGTTGAACTTGAAAGCTTAACTGAGGATTTTGTAAATTGTGAATTTATATTTACTGTACATGTGATGGTGAAAGTATGTTTTTAGTGATGATTAGCTGTAATTAGGTTGTGYTTTATGCTATATATGATAAGATTTAACTATCAAAAGCTTAAATTAATATATTCCATAATAAAAAGGTGCATTTGTGTTCGATTCAACCAATTGTTTACTATGATGACATCATCAGCTGACAGTTTTATATCATTGAGAGTCCATAATTTTGGAAAAATAGTGATCCTCTTTTCAATTTCTTCCTGTTCACCGGTTAATTCTCTGAGTACTTTCAGCTCAAATTTCTTGCAAAGTTCGGAGTTAGAATTCTTCATTTCCGAATGCCTCCGCTTTTTGACCTCCTACGCAGYCGTACCTATGAAGAGGTAACAAAGTTGCGTGAAACTGCAACGGCAATGGAGGGATCTACTGAAATCTAGTTAATCAAGTTTCGAAAACTTTTAGTACTAAGGAAACTAAGCCATACAGAAAACAAACCGATAATGTATTTATAATGTAGTTTTAAAGCAGAGAATGTTCGCAGTATTTCAGGGAGWGTGCTGTCASATAGTCCTATGCTATTGCTGAATTGCACATGACGTTAGGTTCGGGCTACCAACATGGCTTCTGATCGYTTTATGTCAGACAGCAATAATTTATCTTTCAAAAGAGAAATTACATCCGTAAAGCTAAAACATTGTTTTTRCATCCATGACTAAGCTCAAGGARTCCATCTGCTCAGTGATCGGAGCAGTAAATAGTTCGAGAGTGCCTGGGAAGATTTAAGTCCAGGGTGACTGAATTTGTATAACACCATGTATCATAATGTCTTGCGCTGGATGTTAAAGGTTTGCGGTTTAAGTAAGCCTGATATTGTATGATTAAATTTTGTCTCGATATACAGAACTATAGCAAACAACGTTATTTGTGATTGTATATGTAGCCTTTATAATTTGTAATTGCATTCATGTATATTCTATAATCCATTGTGAATATTGCTATATGATTACAAATAAAAGGAAATGTTCATTGAATTTTATTGAACGCTGTTTGTACATCTTTGTACCCAAAAGACCCAACGTTATTTGCTGCTTACTCAGACCGTTATTTGCAATGTATCTGATTGAAAAGCTGCCTACACGATAGCAGATACATACAGTGTTTCCCAAATAAATAGAAAACTAATTGAAATGTAAGCCCGGGAATACGCAATCGATTCAACGTTGCGTCCGTTAGAGTAACGTAAAAAACTCATTCAGCATAAATCTCTAGCTACAAAGTCTTTTAAAAGTCTGGTTAAGTGTCTTTGTACGGCCCCATCACCACGTGGGACGTGTAACTGCATTACTTACAAATCGCATTGATGAAACTGTCTTGACTTGAATATATTAATAAATATGTTAGCACTTTTTGATCGAGTTACGCGTCAAAACGATTTGCGTATGTATGAGATGTACACTGTGTCGGAAAAAGACCGCAGTCCTTTTTTCATTTCCGGGACAAAATTAATTTTATGCTTGTTCGTCTTTTTTGTACGTGTCATCAACTACACAAAATTGTTTTGTAGTCAGAGGCACGTGTTTGTTTATTCAAAAACAAACTGAGTTCATTAAACCACATCGGGATTTTCAAATCCAAATTTTTACCAAAAGCACATTCCATGTTACATTAGTTTCCTTTTCCCCGCGCGTCCCACTTTTGGACCCAGAAGTTCAGTACCGCGTCTAGTCTTGTCGTCTGCAGCCTGGAGACGGGTGTCTACGAGCCAATGCCGATTCTGTAAACGTGCCAAAATCCAAGTCACGTTTACTTGATGGCTGCAATACCGAACATTCTTGAATGCAGAGTTTGAGTCAGAGTCTTTGCGATTGAGGACTAAGATGGTCGAGCACCGCACCTATGACGACATTGTAAAAGCTTGTGAGTACAGTTATTGATACCTTGATAAGATTATTGTGTTATGTTTGCAGGTGGTTGTTGTGATCTTTAGATTAAGATTAACTTTTCACTTAACCTTATTTGTTCTAAAACGACCTCAAGATCATCTTAAACAATACGTAGTTCAGCTGTCGAGTTTTTGGCATAATGCTATTTCACAGAAAAAGCAACTGCACTAAATAAATCAACTATAGTAATGTGTATTACTAGAGGTAATGCGAATCATGCCGTACTAGGTAAAGCATAAGCTCAATCCATAGCTGTTTTTCCTGCGAATAAGCAAAATTTTAGCCAAAATAAGAGTGAGAATAACGTCTTTTGCAAACTAAAACTTGTCAGTGTCACTGACTTTTATAATTATATGTTATGCATATACTTTAGTTCGTATTAGTGTGTATGGATGGACTTTTATGAAGAGTGATCGCACTTAAACAGTGCAACGCTGTACAAAATCTAAGTAGTACTAATTTGTTTTTAAAAGCGGCTCTGAAGCAAGACGGTATGAATGCTTCATTTATAACAATTCAATTTAATTTGCGTACCGCATATGCACGATTTTCTAAATATAACTAAATAGCGCTCTACAACTAGAACGTTATTAAAAGCGTTTTGTGTTAAATTCTTCAAGTCATTTTCATACAGGCATGCATAGTGTCTTCTCTAATGAACTGTCCTTCTGTTTTGGGGCTAGTTAAACGCCTCCTTCTTGAAATAAATTCTTGATAGAACAACTTTTCATAACTCGTTGACTCCGCTCTCACCGCAGAAAGAGATGACAAATGATTTTATGGTAAACGAATTACGAAAAACAAGAGAATTGTTTCAATGCAATAAGAATGCAAAGGCTCCATTGTGTCGGTCAAAATCAGAGGTTTCTCTTCTGCAAAGCAAAAAATCAACTCCACTTTTGATGCCAGTAACTTGTACATATGTACTATGCATATTATGTATAATCAAATCTAAGCAAGCGTTAGACCGCGTGGTGACACTCGTAAATTGTAAATAGCACAGAGTAGTAGCCTTTAAAATTTGTTTTTATATAGACTAGCGACTGAAGTGTATTCGAAACATGTCGGTGCAAACAACAAGAAACGCAGCCATGACATTCTTAATCGTAAGGCAATAAAAAGAGTCTCTTTTTTAACAAATTTTGCCATTACTTTTTTGTTTTTAAACTGCAACTTTGACCATCAGTTTTGTTTTCGTATTTTTATTAAGTTCTTTGATATTGCTTCTGAGTCAGTCAAAGCAACATGGCAGCTCTTCATAATTTCGATTCAGTTAAAGTGTCGCGAAAGCAAACTCTTTTGCACCCATGCATTTTTAATAGAGCTTGCCATGATTTGAAATACAACTCTTTCCTTTCTTTATATTTGTAAATACTTAGAAGTATGCGCACGTATCGGCACTATCAGTTATGGCGGCCATTTCTCTTTTCTCCGGCCTCTTAATTCTGTGCCGCTTTCTGACTAACAGTGATTATTCTTCTTAGTTCTAATTTAGTTCGGACCAGCTATCAAACCGTTTAGAGTATTTGTGATAGAATGATATATATTGTACGTACTCCCTTCGTCTTAGTAGTCAGGAAGTGCATTTTAGAGGTATTTTGCTTGTTTATTTTTTCTCCTAAAAATTCGACGTACCTTTTAACGTCCGAACGGTTTTGGTTAGATGTGTTTGGAGAATGCAATAGAGGTTTTTCAGTAATAGCTTAGAAATAGTCTTACATATAAGATGGACATTTCAGAGTTTTTGATGGGAAAGTTCTCAAATCAGTATCGATGGTTGCACTGATGAGGGCCTGCTTCGATTCCTTATGGCTTATACGGGAATATACGTTTATCAATTTTGTAATGGACGCGATTCCTTTCTTGCAACTACCGTAGCTGATATATATGGAGAGTCTTGTGTGCTAAACTTTTAATGTGCGAGTAGCTTAGTCTCCCTTAGCAGGACATAAGGACAAATCGATAGTCATTCATCAAACTGCGGTGGAACTCGAGTGTGCTTTGTCGCCAATCAGTGGCATTAAACCTCGATGTAGGAAATTTATAAGTTTTTTTTAAGTATAACTTGAAAAAAAGTAAAAAAGCGCACGTTTGTTGATTATGTAGTCCTTATTATCGATGGATATGAATCTAACGCGTATCAAAGCCTAACCCGACATGGTTCGCCATCTATTTCACTGATGCTTTCTAGCTAATTGCCTTAGTTGTCGCGTTGTTCGTTTTAAATGAAGATTAGTGATGTATTTTTATTTTGAGCATATAACAAAACTAGCAAAGAAACTGGACGCACAACTATAGGTTTGTAGCTGCAAAATGAGATATTTGCGTGGAAAAAGTAGTTGCTCGATCTCCTTTTGTTCTTCCTGCTATTTTTGGAATTTAATTCTGATTCTTTTCAATGTCATGCAATTAGCGGCCACACCTTGATTCCTCAGAAACTAAAAATAAAATGATTGTTTTTACAAATGTTTGGGTTCATATGCTATCAAATTGCTTACAGCATTTCGAGCGGAACGGCGAGTGCACGACCGCAAGTCAGTGTGGGTATTCCATTTTAGTATTTCATTTTAGATGGATAATATTATCTTGTCTGCTAATATTAGGCAAGGACAAACAAAAATGGAAAAACTGTATTGACTACTTTTGGATAAATAATAAAATCTGTAATAACTATACACAAAGTTTATCAGGTGCGCAATCTGATCTCCATTTGTCCTGTAAAACTTTATCTCAATATSGAATAATGAGAATTTTTGAGAAATGCACATAATTATCAAAAACTTTATGGATCATTCGTCTTTTATTTAAGTATTCAGTGCTTTAAAATATGACTCTATATAACCAAAATTGCGGTGTAAATTTATTTACACACAAAACTAAGATTATCCATAGTCACATAGCTTGTGTTCTTAGCGCCAGAAGCGTCTTCCATAAATCTATATCTTTATCTTTTCACTTTATTAAGGTTATCACCACTAAGTAGAAGTTTGAATATTGACACTTGTTTCTTTCATGTCGATCAAATGCACTGACAGTTGTCAGATTAATCTTCATTCGTGCAGTTCAGAGCTCTCTAAATCTGGACGTGATTCTGCAATCTTTCCTGTCATTTCTTCACATTCATGGCAGCTTATGCCTCGTGAAAACATGTCAGTTTGTTTCCTGCAGACAAGCACGAGGTCCGGACTATAACAATGTCATATCATTGGGTGCACCGAAAA